TTTTCGGAATTCGAATTGATTTTGTTTAATAAAGCTTCATGATTAATTTTTTCGCAATTATTTTAAATTAAATTCTGTATATATTTACACACACACACACACACACACACACACACACACACACAATCGTGATCCTCTGACATATTCTTTTCCGAAATCGAAATAATTCTTTAATGAAACTTCGCGCATGCGCGTGTGTAAAATATAAAAATTGTATTTTATTAATGTCAGAAATACAGGTAAGTAAATTTTGGGTCTTGGTAAAATTCTCATTAATTTTTACATCGCCGAAACAATATCTTGTTTCTCTCCTTGCTCAAAGACAACTCTCTTTTCTATCGAAATTATTATTATTTTTATTATAATTTGAATTTGTCATACAAATACAATGAGATATGCGAACATCGCGGACTTAACGATTATATTTAATTTAGCCGATCTGTATGTTGAAATATTCAGAATTTAAACTTTTTACATATAAAAATGTTTATATTTATATCTTAGATTAATTTTTTATATCTGCTATAATTTAAGTACATAAAATTGAATTTCACCGTTGTCTCTTTTCCGCAGTGCTGCGGATTGATTTTCTCGTACTATTCGTAGTTTGACTGATTGTATTATGAGAAATATACAACATAATATAATACATTTATATTTACGATGTAATATACTTTTTAAATATTTCGAAAGTTTATTATCAGAAACAAATATAGGATGTCTACTATGTGGAAAAGTCTAGAAAACTTGGAAATTTTCGGGGAATTTGTTTATGCCTTGAAAGTCAGAGAATTTTCTTGAAGTTGTTTTTTTTCTAATATTTTATCTTTATATTATAATCTGAAATTACCGACTGAATTGTTAATAATAATATCTATTCATTCTAAATATTATAACATATCGATTTTACAACTAAGCCAATATTTAGTATTGAAGACAATGATTTCATATTAGATGCAATTTTGTTTAATAAAGACGGATATTTATTTTAATAGTAATTTTTAAATTTTTAAAAATTTTTGTGCTAGTTATGCATTATGTAACTTTTTGTTTGTAGCTTTTGAAAAAAATAAAGTTTGAAAATTTTATGCAAAATGTAAAATATTTATTCTTTAGGGGCCTTAGAGCTTCTTTTATAATTTTTCAAATTTAATTTTTGAAACTCTTGAGTGATTTTTAATTTTATTTTACGATTTATAAACCTTTATGAAAATATTAAAAACTTTGCACAATTATCATATATTTATTTGTAAGACATACATTAAAAAATATATTTATTTTATCTATATTTTTTAATGAATTAGCTTGAAAATCAGAAAATTCTTAGGGAATTCTTTTTCGGATTTGAGCAAACATCCTGAAATGAGAGGCGCTTGGTATATACTATACTTATTGTACAATAATATAATTGTACAGTTAATATATTTAATATTGTACTTTAATGTATTTAAAATTAAGTTCGGCTAAAAAAAATTAAATTCAAACATGCGAATCGGTCCAGGACATCAGTGGATATAAGTACCTTGCTCTGTTCATTAAATGAATTTTCAAGTGAGTTGACCTCCAGATTGGGCTTCTGCCCCATGATTGTTACATCGTCGCCGTCGCGCCGGCACTTGTACCGCTTTTATCACTTTTATGCATAGCCAGAATAATCTAACGTATAAAACTTTCAAACGTTTTATATTTTTTCAGTTGATAAATACTTACAAATTACACCACAACGTGGTATTATAATTGATTTATAATACCTTTATTAATGCTCAGAATGTAGCTCTTTTAAAAGTTTCATTTGAAGATAGTGGGAAGATTATACGCGTTGTGATAATTTTTGATATCAATGATATCAGAGTTAATTATGATAATGGATTGTAGATAGACAGAGTATCGCGTTCGAGTTTATTTTGCGCCACAATAGCCCGTATTGCATTATTGTAGAGTCGCTGTCTTTTGTACGACGGCTTTGATAGATAATCCTCGCGACGAAACGATTCTCCTCTCATTCGAGTTTCACAGACGCGATATTCCAGTTGGACGCAAATTATTGGATAACACAATGATTATGCAATATATTCAATACACTCAATACATTTGTGTAAGAGAGTTGTCATTTCCTAATTCGCAACCGTAATATTTTCGCGATTACTTCATTTTCGAACTTGCTCCTCATCAATTTATTTATAAATCGTCGACGTCATAGTATATTACAAGACGTCGGACAAGATCGAGAGGCTTAAAAGCGGAAAATCATTTAGATCTTGTTCTGGTTGTCCTCACGAAGGCCACCAATCGGCGCGAATATCCGCGGCGCGACTGCCGTTGTTAAGATTAATTATATGCCACAACAGCTTGAAATGATCTATTGTGTCTTAACGGCCGTGTCACACGCTCCAACCTTGAGTGTAAGTCGAGGGAATTGACCTCGAACCGGATCTGGAATTCTTTTTCTTCGGAGAAGGGTAATGTGAAATTATAAAAGGGTGGTAGGTCTTGCATGTCATGCTAAAAGTTTCACTACTTCGGACTTAAACCGAGCGAACCGCGTCTGTCCGGCAAATATTTTATATCTAAATACTCATACAATTTAATTTCTATTTCTTCCAAATATATCCAAGATTTATAAGCGAGAAAACTACTACTTTCTTCGCAGATCTCCGCAAAACGTGTTCAATGTCGAGTAACGCTGATTTTCGGTTTTCATACACATAATTCATTTTCATAAGTACATATACATATACATATATATATGCGTAAATTTAAATAGTTAATTAGAAGCTGACTTAATCGTTAATGATAATTATCACATTTTTAACGCGTGGTCGACGTGGACAGTGAAATTTTATCGTTGCGCAAGAGTTTAGCGATTACAGGCGTCTTGATGTTCAGACCCATTCCAAACTTATCGATCACTTTTACATCCGATTCATCGTAATTGGCCGAAATATCTGAAATCGGTGTTTCGATAACGTCAGCCATCATTCCGTCCCGTTGTTTGTTTTCATTACTTTCGTTCTCTTTCTCTTGGACAGTCTTCCCCACGAGCCTAATCGTGTCATCCTTGTTCACGTTCCTCGTACCTTGCTCGAGATAAAATTCACTCCGCGGAAGCTTAACGCAGTCTTTGCGTAATTTCTGCATCAAACTCGTCGTCGAGCCGTCGGTAATTCTCTTGCAAAGTCGGACATAATTTTTCTTCCTTCTCGCGTGATTATCGACGACCGAGCCATCGGTCTTGTCCGCGTTCCCGTCCGTGTCCTTCTTCGACGTGACGCCGACGTCCAGTCCGAGCTGCATACTCGCCTTGGCGAATTTCTCTCTCGGTGCATCCTTAATGTCCGGGACGTACAAGCGGAAAAGAGTCATGTTTTTTCTACTCTCTTCAATCGTCGCGTCTTCAACGGCTTTTGTCGGACTTTTTGCCCATTCCTCTTCCGATGAAAACTCTTTGGAAGCTTTATTCTCATTCGACGCGACATTTCCCTGTGAACATTTTGCTTGATTCGCGAATTGAACATTCGCCGAGATGCCTCTACGATTGTGCGGACTTAGCGGAAGCTTCTTCGATTCTACTTTAGCTTGAAAACCTACGTTTAGTTTCGTCGAGTCTTTCATAGGGACTGTAGATCTCGTTACTTCCGATGGGCTTAAGGGGCCGCCCAAAAACTCGAGTGTGATTTCCCCATCATCTCTTTGAATTTCTTTTTTTGGTACGCTGATATCAATGAGGTTGTTCAATTGTTCAGCTACGGATGTTGCCTTTTCGTGTATATTCTGAGAAAAGTACAGAAATGTGTAGAGAAATTTAATGCCACACAAGTTGTGAGCACAAGCAAATTGTAATCTGGCAAAAAGACCTTACCGTCATTAATGGCAACAAGTAGAGAAAAGTCGAGAGAGGAAGAGCAAGACTGAGAGCGCCCATCGTATTTCGATTCGATCGAGAGGCGGATTCGTTCACCAAACTAACTAATCCTCACTTCGATTTCTTTATGTACCCTGAGAGAGACGATTTATTCTTCTCCCAACCGCAGTCACGCTTTTCTATCCGTTTCCATTTTAATGGCGCGTCACATGTAATTTCGTCCATTTACGACGCATTGTTTATACAAATATCATCTTTGCCATTTGATTTCGCTGCGGTCAGTAATAGCGTCTTGAAGGCCGCTTTTTAACTTAAACTAAGATTATTCTATTTTTATCTTTCTTTTTTAATTATTTATTTTTATAAATAAATTTCCTTTATGATCGCAGAGTTTTTGTGATTCCGCGCTCGATGAGGAACTAAGGTGAGTTTCTTCTCCTTCCCCTTCGGGAATCTTAATAGTGTAAGAATTTATTGGTTTCATTAGATTTGGCTGTTAATCTTCTCGTTGCTAATTATCCACGTGATTGCACGGCGTCGGAAACGTCTCAACGTGATCCGCGAAATAATTTACTGGCTAATATTACTTAGGCCTTCTGCCGGGATTCATCGATTCAGCCGGATTTTCAGCTATCGGCGAATTAATGGTGCGTGGCTTGAAAATTTATAGTGCGTATAATCGAAAGTGTTCGTGTTCGACTCTCTTAGCTCCTTGCCTTGATATATACTTACATCCTGTTTGATACGGCGTTCAATGTATCACTACAAGAAAACATGTACTATATCGTGTCTCAGATACGTCTATATATGTAAATCATATTAGTTAATTATGTCATCGTTACTCATAATATAACATTATTATAGATCAGCTAATACTGAATTTCTCTTGTGCCTGCAATTTTCTTCTAATATATTCTTCTTCTATTTCATATAATTTTATTATCGAAAATTCAATGAAATAAATAAAATATACTAACTAAATAAACGTAAATGTATTTTGATTTACATCTTGAACAAAGTTTCTAAAATGAGAACTTTTTAATTTATAACTTTCTCGTCACAACTTTCTGCACTTTCACATTCCTTTTAAATGTTCTTTTTAAATACTCCAAATAATACATAATTATAATTATAATTGATAATAATCATTTGATCCTTATTATTTTATATAATTTATATATGTATAATACTGTTTAATTTCTTAAATAATATTGGTTGATTATTATATTAAGCCGCGCTGATAAGAATAAGATGAAAATTAGAGACAATATTAATTTAATTATGGAAAATAATTCTAACCGCAAGAGAAGTTGATGACTGTACACTTTGCGGTCGTCTACATTTTGCAAGATAATTACTACGTATTACGATCGTATTATCGACAATTCCTAAGAACATTATTCACGACAATCATTAATACCATTTTTTATCAATTTAGAACAACAGACACGCGATTGTGGACGCAACATTGCGCCCACGCACAATGCCATTTATAGCGGTTCACGTATTTCCGGTCACGCGATTGTCCGATCCTTAATTAATAATTGACTCATTGTCAGAGAAATCTGTTAGTCGTGAAATTCTTTTGCTTTCCTTTTTCCGAAAGAAGTATATTTCTATAAGTATATGTGCACAAATAAAATTAAATACGTTTATTTATATATGCAAACGTGCCTATCGTCTATCGCATCGAAGTGCGGTGTATGTACATTTTACATCTTCGTGCCAGAAACCGGAAGTGATGAACGCGCATCAACCATTGTTATGGCCCATTATTTATCTTTGCCAAATAATCTCATCTTTTTTCGATTCTTCACACCTACCATCCTGAATGGTGAGAAGAAAAGTCACCGTCGTTTTAAGAGCTTTCCTGCTCTTATCGCTTTAGATATTAATGAATTATAGTGCTCGGTGCTAATTAAAAAGTACCGTAAATAATTATTAAATACGGACACGAGTTTAACGGGAACTCTGTAGAAGAATTTTCAGTCAGGTTAATTTGAAAGCGAAAATTAACGAATTAACTTGTGAAAGGTGAAGCGCATCCTTTGAATTAAATCCTTTTTCTCTGTGGAATTATATTTCTTCGATTCGGGCGTGGAAAAATACAATATCTGTATCATATATAATTTTATTATGATTGCTCGCTGAAACTTAGGCTAGATAGCAATTTACGAATTGATATATAATTGAGATAACAACGGCGAATTTTCGAAATCTTGCGCGATTTCGATTGCGCGAGCGCGACGACGTTGGGGAAGCTCGCGCGTTTCCGGTAGACAAACAATTTACCGCGTGCCTCGCGGCGACTCGGTCGGATTACGAAGATGATATCAGTCATTTTACCACGTTAATTAATGCCACCGACCGTAGACGAGCGCGAGCAACCCCAAGAGCTCTTGTTTCCTGTTGATCCAACAATGAATAAGATGCGTATATCCTGATTAAATCTGCTGCCGTCATTAATCATCCAGACAAACTGTCTAAACTTTTCATATAAACGTTTCATCAAGCATATATTTGATTTGATTTATTTATTGAGTTGCACATTTCTCGCATTCCCTTAGCTTCTTCTTCGTTTCGCGATTGATTAATAATCGCAGATTATTTTCCAAATCTCCTTAAGATAATCTATAATTTGAATTTGTGTAAACTTTAAATCGGCCGAAATAATCCAGTGAAAGAAAGCGATGTAACGGAGTTACATTTCACCCACTTTCGTGTCGCTTTACAAAATACGACTTTAAACGTTCGTCGGGAGAAAAGAAGGATTTACGACGGAAATATTTTTTGGAGCTCTTGAAAGTTTATTCGGCACTGTGCTGTTAACGGCTACCATCTCGTAAAATCTTCCATCACGCTGTATTCTTTTTTCTCTTTTTAGTTCATTAAACTTTATTTATAACAATCATTCGTTTTCGATTTTTTGCCATATTTGTCGTTAGCTATAAAAATAATTCAACTCTTGTGACGTATTAATGTAAAAATACAATAACATTTGCTCAAAAGTTCCAAATTTATTTTATCAAATACATGATCAAATACAGGAATTGAATCTTTTTAAGAAAAAATATTTCGATAAATATATTGTTCATTAACAACGTCACGCAAGAGGTGAGTAAACATGCGTCCTTCGAAAATTATTGCATCGATCGGCAAAACAAGCGATTTCGAACATTGGTGCTTTTCGCTCGGTGTTTTTTTTTTCGCTCCTCGTTCTGGCATCGTTCCATGCTGCTTTTTCTGTGACCGATAATAAATGGTTTGTGCCAAATTGGCCGATCGTTTCAGGTGAGTCTGCCTACGCGAATCTAGTAATTAACATCCCCTTCCGTTCGGTTATTATCTCGCGGGACACACAATCTCCTGCACTTTTCTTTTCTCTTCGTAATTCTTACACTCACAGTTCTTCTCACACTTTAGGAAATGAACACTGGGGAGTAAGTAAAAATATAAAGAGACCACTCGGAGATATCTTTTATTAGCTGTTCACTTATTATAAGACGAAGAAAAGTTATCTAGTTAAAATTCTTTTAACATTTCTTTTCGCGAGCTTGACCTCGCGAAACAACTTATTATCAAAATCATAGATGTAATTTTCATCGTATTTTTCGCATCTTGGCTTTTTTACTGTTCCTTACCACATTCTTTCTGCATTTGTTGAAAAGGAGAAAAGGAGAAGGAGAGATTTGTTGGAAACAAGAGTATAACGAGCTGTTTCTCGTTCGACTTTTCAGACATTTAGCTACCTATTACGCGTGATTCCTCGCTTCGTAGGTAGTAAGGAAGATTTCCTTCTTTTTCTCTCCTTCCACCTCCGCTCCTCCATTATGTTCCTTTTCATCTCTCCCACGATCATGTTCCCACCCCACTATTTTATCCGCCACTTCGTACTTGGCGCGCCTTTGCACGCAGCTGCAATTGTAGAAAAGAAACTTCAACCGGAGCAAGAAATCTCCATCGTACAGCCTCTTTTTCCTCCACTCAAGGTTGTATCTCAGAACGAATTGTGGTTTCTCGTCGAAGGGTGTTACGCGTTTACACGAGCGATGAAAGAAGTTTTCGCCAAGTGAAAATCTCCTGCTGTTTTATGTTATCTCGAAGGGAGGTTTTATTTTCCTCCAGAAAATAAAACATTTTCTTGATAAATAACACACAACTATAACTTATTTTTATATCAATTTAGTTAAGTTAGCACCTGTATATTAATATTTATAATTTATTTTGTTAAGACCATTTTAAGTAAATTATATAAATTTCTTTCTAAATTTCTTTTAATATCGAGCAAGTATAATTTAATTCTTTTTATATTGCAGCGTTTTTTCGCGTAGTGAAGAGATTTGATTAATATGTAAATAAAAAAAAAATATGTTTGTTTTGTTTATATTTTCCGACTAGTAAGATTTGCTTGTTTAGATTTTCTCTTGTTTTTTTTTTTTTTTTTTACATCGACGCGTGTATCTAATTGTCCTAACTAGCGGCGAATGACTAGTTTATTTTAACCGCTGAATTCAACGTTTTCCATATTATTAACAGGGACATCCTGTTCAAAATGTCGCAACTACAAATTGGTGTAAAGTGCTCGAAGGAAGACAATAAACGTCCTCTTTCATTCTCTGTTTCTTGCTTCTCTTCGTCTTCTTCAATTTCTTCTTATTTCGTCGTCTCATCTCAATCCATCGTGGGTGGATGATTCAGTATGAGTATTATTATGAGTAACTATTCTATAAGGAATAAAGCTTCAATTTACGGCCCAAATAAATAATAAGTGAATTGATTGTTGGATCACAGATTAATTATTAAAAAATTAATTATTTAAAAACTTATAAAACATCCAACCGAATGTAAATGTACATATTTGTTAAAACTCATAATTTTCGAAATTTCCTTTGAACTATTATACATTGTGATAATTATGAATATAGATATATACTATCTGCTAATTGTAATTAGCGGCTCTTCCCGTTTCGTCATTGACAGCGATTACGTAATTATGTCAGGCGTATCAGATCCAAGAGTTTTCTCTTATGGTATTGACCTTTTTATCCGCACGTGTTTCTATAGAACTTAAAATAGATCAAGTGGGATAGCGATCGGTTA